ACCCCCCCACCCCCAGCCCGTCACTGCACAATGCCTTTCCTTGATTTCCAGCATCTGGCCGCCAACTGGAATCGCATCAGGACCTCTAAGCGGACCGTTATCCATATCCCGTCATTAGGTAGAGGACTTTCTCTTTTCCCTTTTTTCCTCTGGATGTTTCAGCAACCTCTATTACCCACCACATTATGACTCCTTGATTGAGTTCAAGGAAGGCCCTTGTTTTATTCAAATTGGTCTCGGCAGGAAAATGTTGTCGACATGATGCGAGTAATAACGCAGGGCCTTCGCTCGAAACGGCGTTTAATTTGGGGATTAAGCAAATAAAGTCATTATGTAGAGGCCGCTATTCAGCCGAGAGGTGATTTGCTGTAATTCGCTTTCATCTGTATGAAATGAACTAAAAAGTTGTATTTCTCTCCCCCCCTCCTTTCCCTCTTCCTTCCTTCCCTCCCTCCCCTCGAAATAACAGATAATGTTTCCAGTCTTCTTTAATGACAGGGGGGGGGGGAGGACACAGGCTTGCCTGCTTTGTTGCTATTACGCCAATAAGCCGGGACGTTGCTCGCGCCCTGTTTTTAATCAAATGTGCAGTCAAAATGATAAGCTGCATTCTCTGAAATTATTTAGTTCTAATTACGAGCAGATGGGATGCTTTATTTCCACCTTGGGCGCCTGAGCAAAAGGAAATGCTGTGTGCACAAGAATAATTAAGAAGTTGAATAGTGGGGGTTTTTTTGCGCTTAAATAATCTGCAGTTTCGTGTTAATTAGCACTAATGTAATTATTTAATTACATTTATGAATTGGGGGGGCTTACAAGTCGCTTTCCTGCAAAGTGGAGGGGGGAGGCTTGGGTGTTCTATTCCCCCACCCCCCCCAGCAGGAAATGGTGGAAATGCTATGAAAACACGAGCTGTGGTCCCAGATTCAAAACAAAAAGGATTTCATAAAGCCATGTTGGTTTTGTTCAAAAGAGGGGGAACTGCGAAGGAGGTTCCCTCTCTTTTGTGTATACCTCTTTGCTCTTCTGATTTATGGATGTGAAAAGTTTGCCTGGCAGGACCTTGACCTGCGAAAGTCCATCCCGGGTGAATGTGCAGTTATCACATAGCTGTGCATGTGCCGATACCAAGGGGCACCACTTGCAAACTTTTATTTATACAAGGTTTTTCAGATCTCATGTGAATTTTTCAGATCTCTCACGTGCAGTTGAGAGCTTCCTTTTCCATTTTGATGTGTGTATTCGTGTTTTCAAATTTCAATACTTTCAATTCTAACAGAAAATGGGGTAGGCCAGAAAAACAAACTTTTTGTAGATCTTAGAAAATCAAGGATTCTTTTAGGCGTCCTTTGTAATCCTTTGATATTCTAAAAACAGAAGAACGTCTTTCAGGAAATATAATGCATTATCATTTGGCGTACCCCTTTAACATCTTCTTTCTTCTACCAAAATATACACCTTTAAAATTTATAGTTATGTGTTTATTTAAAACCTTTATACGTTGCCGCCTCGGAGACTCGCTCTGAATTATTTTTTTTGCAAATTATGCAAATATCTTGAAGATGAGCTATAAAGAAATGTTTTGTTGTCCATATTTTTCAGAAATGTTTGGTAGAAAATAAGGGTGTTATTCCAAAGAGGATCTTTGAGTTATACCACATGTTTTAAAGCAAAGTTTTAAGTGAGTCGATGCACGTTTTCCCCTTCAGAAATGTCCCTATGAGTTCAGTGGGGCTGAATCCCTTAATAGGTGTGTTTTGGATTGCTGCCTACGGCATGGATTTTACCTCCTTACAATAATTTTCGGCTGTGCTTTCTCGTTTTTTTTCTGTACCGCTAGCCGTACATTTACAAAATAACAGGCAAAAGCCCATTAGGTCACTTTTTTAAAAACCCTCAAAACCAAGATACCAATCAAGGCCAATGCAAAGTGAGTATTGTGTTTATTTAAATTGTTTTCATTTTTTTACCCTTGGGGTAGCAAGCTCAATCCGTGAACAGAGCGACTGGAAATCAGGCCCCATCCGTTCCCGTGCACACGTTTTAAGATCAGTTTCAGAGGGTGGCCGGGTTGTTCTGCATGTAGAACGGCGAAATTTGAGTCCCGTAGCACGGCTGAGACTAACAAAAGTGTAGGGGTATACGCTTTCGCGAGTTGACTCGTGGAAGCTTAGAACCCAAAGATCTTGTTGGTCTCAAAAGTGCTACGAGACTTGAATCGACGCGCTTAAGACCAGGTTGTCAGGTTCTCTGTGACCGCAAATGCTTTGGTTAAGACATTCTGACCTCTGTACTGGCATGTTGCCTTCCTGGGATGCTATTCCAGTGCCTGCAGATATTTTAGACGGGGACAATGCAAGCAGATGATGCATTTCGTCTTATATAAAGGTAGACCTAAACCGGGGCATCTGTTTTATCGCCTATTACTGTCCCGGCATTGTTTCCCTCCGAGAAGGATAAATTATTAGTATAATTTTTAGACTGAATATGTTAAGTGGTAATAAAAATAAAATAAAAGCGCACAAGATGTCTTTCCTTGATAAGTGCTGATCTTCGGAATGGTGACCTTGGGAAATCTAGATTATCGAAGAATTAAACAAGAAGGACCCAAGAAACCTGAAAGGAATACAACAAATATTAACTAATCTAAGACCGACGGTGAAAAATGCCAAATATGTGCTGACGATGGTGTAATGTATTTTCAGATAGTCAGCACATATTTGGTATTTTTTCACTGTCAAACTTAGGTTAATTGACAATATATATATTTTATTCCTTTTAAGGTTTTTTCGTTCTTTCTTTTGTTTGATTTTTCAGTAATTAGGTTTCCTTTCCTCTCCACTTCTTTTTTCTTTGTTGCCTAATTCCCGAGTGCCAAAGAATAGAGTCTTAAATATTAACATAATAGTTTCCACCAGTTCAGGGGATACTTCCCATTTTCTGGAGCCAAATAAATTGGAGGGATGGCTTTAGTGTTTGTTTGTTTTTTTAAAAAAAAACACACCTCTATTAAAATTATGCGTCTCTCTCTGCAGTACGTTTTACTGATATAAACCTTTCAAACTGACAAACTCAAATGACATTTTTAATTAGTTGAGGAGGTGATTAATTTTTCTCCAGCCACACTTCATAGTCAGTTGACCTGGATGGTGAAACTCCAAAGGAGCTGAAACTCATGGGTTTCTGAAAACGGTCCTTTCTTCACATCAGAGCTCCATTTCGTTTGCAGTAATTTGCATGGCGTAGTTGTTAGTGTGTCAGACTAGGATATGGAAGACCCAGGTTCAAATCCCCACTCTGCCACCGAGGCTCGCAGGGCCAGTCACACCCACTCAGCCTAGCCTACCTCACAGGGTTGTTGTGGGGACAAAATGGAGGAGAATGTTGTCAGCTGCTTTGGGTTCCTGTTGGGGGTGGTGGGGAAATGGAATATAAGTGCAGTAAGTAAATAATACCAAAGAGCAAACATGTGGCTTGCAGTAATTTCGGAATTTTTTTGGGGTGGTTTTGACATTGTTTTGCTGCTTGTTTTGTTTTTAAACGAGAGAAATTTGGGGCTGTTTTTAATCTGCCGCCTTGCCCAGTTGCATCCTCTTTTCTGCTGATCTCACCATGAGGAAATATTCCAGCTGCATGGGACTAGTTTTAAGGTTGCTAAGTAAACACATTAACAGAATACAGTTCCACCAATTGAGACATATCCTCCCCTTTCTTAATTTAATTTACGATTAAAAAAAATTGACACTGGCTTTGTAATGGCAGTGAGACATTCTGGTGCACATTGCCCAACCATTTTAGTTGGGAAAAGGGATTCTTGCTAATCTGAAACCTGGGCTATTTTGGTACATATCTTATTAAAACCGACCATATGCGGAAACTGCATATCTTGTGTGTGATTAGGTGAATGGTCCCACCCCCCTTCTCCCGCGTAAGGAGTTTTCTGCTTGGTTTTTCTGCATTGACTGGATCTCCGAGTTTCTAGCAGCTAAGATGTGTTTCCTAGGGTTGCCACCCTCCAGGTGGGGTCTGGTGATCTCCTGGATTTATAACTGATCTCCAAACTACAGAGATGAGTTCCCCTGGAAGAAATGGCCACTATGGCATTAGACCCCGTTGGGGTCCCTCTCTCAATCCCACCCTCCCCAAGCTCCACCCCCAGATCTCCAGGAAACTCCCAGTCTGGAGTTGGCCACCCTAGGTTGTCCCACCGGCATACAGCTGTATTTCAGTGGGACCCGGGACTTTGGAAACAAAACCTGACACCCCCCGTAGGCTAAGTGCGGCCACTGGACACAGATCTATTGGTGTTGCCATGGGCAAGTTCTTTAGACCCTGGAAGTGCATGATGTGCGTTAGTATCCTTGAACCTCAGTTCCCTATTATGTAAAGTTCTGCTTTGCACACAAAAGCTTACACTTTGTTGGTCTTAAAGGTGCCGCTGAACTCAAACTTTGTTTCGGTGAAGTTCTGTTCTTCACAAAAGCTCATTGGAAAATTGCAGATTTTGCACTTCCTTGAAGTTTCTTTTCTCTTTTAAAATGTTCTTGCAAAAAGGGGCACTTACGGGACCTTGCGATGCAGAGGGATAGCTCGCCTTCAGGTCTGAGTGACATCAGGTCTCGTTCAAAGGGTCCAGCACCTCACACGCCCCTCTTCTTCTCACGTACCAGTAAGACTAGATGAGTGTTGTCGTTCAGTCACACAGTCAAGTCCGATTCTTTGTGACCCCATGGACAAGATCTCGCCAGGCCCTCCTGTCTTCCGCCATCCTCTGAAGTTGGCTTAATTTCATGTTCGTTGCATCTATGACACTGTCTAACCATCTATTCTTTTGCCGTCCCCCCCCCCCGTCTTCTTTGACCTTCAATCTTTCCCAGCATCAGGGTCTTCTCCAGTGAGTGCTCCCTTCTCATTGGGTGGCCAAAGTATTTGAGCTTCAACTTCAGTATCTGGCCTTCCAGGGAACAGTCAGGGTTGATTTCTTTTAGGATTGACTGATTTGATCTTCTTGCATTCCAAAGGACTCTCAAGAGTCTTCTCCAGCACCATAGTTCAAAAGAATCTATTCTTCGGCGCTCGGCCTTCCTTATGGTCCAACTCTCGCAGCCATACATGACT